CGGGGCCTGTGCACGCATGGGGGTGTCGGGAAGGCACGTGTAGGCTGCCTGTGACACCCATACAACCCGTGTCTCTGCATGTGGGGGCATAGGGGAGGCGTGCATAGGCTGAGACCTCCCACGGCAGCGCGTGTGAGCTTGGCCAGGCTGAGCATTCCCAAAGGGGGGTGCTGTGGGCTGATGGAACAGGCGCACGCCTGGCCCGTGGCGTGGCAGCCCACGTCAGTACAGGGCAGGCATGATCCCAGGCCCAGTCCCGCCCCAGTGCACGGCAGCATCCCTCACCGTCAGCTGACTCTGCGACGTGCCGACACCTGGCGGGGGGAGGGGAACTCAGTTAGTACAGAAACCCCCCTGTCCTGCTCAAGGCAGCCCCGCACAATGTGGGTGCTGACTGCCCCCCGGGGCACAGCCCCCACTCAAGGTCCTGCCATCCTTGCCCCCAGCTGCTGCTTCCTGAATTGCCCCTCGCAAGCTGGCAGGAGCGGTGCCGCCTTGGTGAGGGGGTGGGTTGTCACTTGCACCATCCCCCACGCCCACCTCCCGCTGGGCTCACTGGCGTGCCATGAATGGGCCGTGAAGGTCCCTCTACCCCCAAGAGATCAGAGGCCCGTGATGGTTCCACACCCCTCAGCAAAGACTTTGTAACTTCCTCACTCCACCTCCCGAGGTGGTCATGCAGGTTGGGCCTGGCCCAGCGCCTGTCACCTCCCGCAACCGTTCCCCGACCTGCGGAGCTGTAGGGGAGATCGCTGCTGTGTTTGAACTGTTGCTAGTGAACCGCCTGTCAGCCGAGCCTCTGCGCACCACCAGCCCTGCCAGGGGACGGGCGCCGGCGTTACCTGCTGGAACGTTCGCAGCAGGGGCAGCTTCAGTCTCTGCTCATCGTCATCTAAGGAAGCAAAGGAGGGGGGGTTGCTCCAGAGGTAGCCCAATTGCCCCACAGGCCCCGAGCAGCTGGCTCCATTCGCCACCCCCACACCCGCCACCCAGGCCTGCCTGGCTGCCTCGCTCTCCTCCTGAGCTCTGCAGACTTGCCACGTCGCCAGGGCCCAACGGGGGTGCTCAGCATGCACAGAGCAGGGACCCACATCAAAGGGTCCATCGGAGGTGTGGTCACTGCCCAGGCAACTCGCAAGGCAAACAGCTGCATGGCCAGGAAGTCCCAGAGCCTGCGCGCAGGGGCCCGGGGAGGGGAAGGGCAGCGATGTGGGCTGCTCTGTGCCCCCGCCTCCTGCATTCCCAGCTGTGCCACCTGCCCGCACGCCGCACCCAGCTGGGACAAGGGACTCGTCGGCATTCAGGGCTGAGGGCCAGAGAGCCCAGCCCTGCGCCTTATAGGGTTGCCAGATACTTTCACAAAAAATACCGAACGTGGCAGAAAAAAAATTGTTTGAGCAAAAAACAAAAAAGGGGGAGGGGGGAGGGACAAACACAGTCACTGCGCCTTTAAATCCCCACACTCCCACGACCCCCAGCAGGGAAGAATGGCCCCTCCCTGCCTGCCACCCCACCCCGCCGCTGAGCCCACCTCACCCCTGTTCTCGGCCACCTGCCGGTTGCGGGAGTTCTGCTGGATCAGCCTCTTCATTTCCTCCAGCTCCGTGTGCTCCCGCAGGTGATGCCGCTTGAGGTTCTCCACGTGCTGCACCATCACCTCCGCCGCCCGGCTCATCCGCGCCTCCTGGAGCAGCAGAAGACACAGCGCAGGTGGAGCCGGGGCAGGAGACAAGAGGGGGGCAAGTGGGCAAGAGATACCAGGCCAGTGGGTGCCTGGCTCAGCTGCTGGCCCTGGGTTGGCCAGCCTAGGCGGGGGGCTGTCACTAAAGCCAGCAAGGATGGATGGCTCTGCCAGCTGGCTGAAGAGGATGGGGCCAGAGGCTCCAGGGGACTGGTGCTGTGGAGCTCAGTATGCTGGGAGCGCAGGGCTAGCCTTGTGCTGGGAGTCCCCGGGGTCCAGGCAGCAGGGGTCCTTGTGCTACTAGCTCCATGCATGGGGCTTCCGCCGCCGGCCACGGGGAATAGCTTGTCCCTCTCCCAACCTCTTGGAGCTGCCTGACTCACCTGATGGACGGCGCCGAGCTT